TGATTAACAGAAGCTTCATTACAGTGGTTTATCTAGAGAACTCAGAATATTTCCACATTGCCTAACCAGAGACTCTGTACCATGAGCAAAAATCAGTGTAATCCAATGTTATTTCATTAACATGATAAACACATACAGAGGAATTTCCTTTATTCATTATTATAATCTCCTAAATAAATTGGAGGAGTTGTTCAGGTAGTGTTATACAAATTTTATCTGCATATAATTTGCCAAACTCAAGGTCTCTGAACATGTCAGAGAATGAATGCAAACACTGAGCTAAGAGACTGATAGTACATAAATCATGCATCTAATTTTTCAGTATGCCTCACTACATCCAGATTTTTTTAATAATTCAAGACAATACATGATTGGTGGTTAAGGGACAATGTCTGACAACAAAACTAGGAGACATATAATCATCCCTAATCCCTTTGTCCTAGAGAAGCAAGTGCATAGTAACACATGGACAATCATTACCAGGTGGTTTTTTCCCTCCACTGTGGCCTGTTTCTTTTGGTTTTTGCCTTATAATAATCATATCACTGCTGCTGCTGGATTTGACTCATAATTAACACCATCTGTGCCTAACAAAGACCTTCAATCATCCTGGTATTCAGTTGCCTGCAGAGGCCATGCATTGAGCTGCTCACCCACCTGGCTTCCACTGCAGCATGCTAATGAGAGCAATGAATCTTAGCTATGGACACTTTCCCAGCAAAATTTGCAGAGCAGTGAAGAAAATTAAAGATCATTGTCACAACTAAGGCTTTCTTCTGGAAATCACTTTTCAATTAAAGCAATAATGGTGTACACTCAGCACCGACTACAAGCACAGTAAAGATAAAATTAAAATACTTAAGACCAAAAATGTTATTTAATGATGTATCAGTTTAAAGAGTATGGACTGAGGCTTGATGAACACAAACTTTGTGATTTGCTGAGAATCAGCAGTAGGAACAACTGAAGTTACAATTCTGTTATAATACTAAAACCCACGTTACTTCAAAATAAATACTTACAAGAAATTCACTTATATATTTCAGCTAAATTTTCTCTGAATCAGAAAATTACACCTATCACTCCATTTGACAAGTGAGCAATTAATATAACTAAGGGGAATTAAAAGTTTCTTTTTCCCTTTTTATGTAAAAAATAGGTGAAGAAAACACATATAAACTGGATTTCCTTCAGTGCGGAACAAAATTTATCAGCTCACAGAAACAGATGCAGTGCTAACAAAATTAAAATTAGCAAAATATTAAAATTTTACAATGCCACCAGCTGCAAGGTACTGTGGTAGACTCCCCTCACAAGAATGCAGGGAATAATAAGGGAATAATAATGTTTTAAGCTACTTGCCAATTCACAGACCATTGAAATTTTAGCAATTTCAGCAATGGTAAATATAATCTAACAGCATTTCCTTGAACCAGATCCCAGAATTTTAAGTCAACTTCTACATCTCTTAGTCATGCATAACAAAAAAAAAAAAAAATATATATATATATATGTGTATATATTTTAATTCAACCGTGTACTTAGCATGAAGGAATGTTCCTGTAGCCACTTAGTGTGGATTAACGAGTGTACTAAGGCAAACTTTATAAACATAATTAAAATACTTTTGCATGAGTAGATTTCACTATAAGCAGGAAGGCTTAAAATAAAGTTTAGTACAATTGAAGTCCTACTTACTTAACTCCTCAAATATGAAGATTGAAAGGCTATTTAAAATCTGTGCACACCCAAAATACTGGTAAATACATACTTGGGAGTACAGAACTATGAACTGCACAGGATGTCCTCAGCAAAATGATACAGCATAGCCCTAAACTGGTTACTTGAGGGGAAAAAAAAAAAAAAAAAATCAATATTTTACTTTTCTATGTCTTGCAAATTGAAAAGAAATAATACATTCCAAAAAAGAGACTGTAACCTGAAAGCTATAGTAAAATCAAAGCTTTTTCTATTAACTGATTTCTGATCCTATTAGACTCATCTTCATTTTTTTTATACATCAGGCCAATGAGATCCATTTAAAATTCAGATGTAGCATTGTTGATTTACAAATTAAATTAAAATTGCTGTTTCCTTGAAGGGCCATGAAACCGAGAGGGAATCATCAAAAATGTTCTGCAGATTATTCCAGTTAAAATGGAAAAGCTTAAGGACTTGTAATGAAAATGAGATTGGGATCTAAAACCACTTGAGTGTTTATGTTTACATAGACTTGGACTTACAGAACTATTCAGATAAACTTCATACCTCATACATGTCTGTAAAAGGGGTAACACAGACTACACAAATGAAAAAGATGTGAATTCTCCTGGGCAGTAACACTGTATCTGTAATAAATTGGAATGAATAATCCTCACCAGGCCTGCAGTATTTTTGTAGAAGATTTTGCTGAGCAAAATCAAATGTCTCTCAAAAGACAAAACATGGAAGCAGTAGCAAACAAGCAGGAAAGCCAAACACAGTACACTATCACAACTTAGCCTCAAATGATCCCACAAGAGAATTCCTAAGGACACAAAGGGCTGCTTTCAGGGGGGAAAAAAAATTTCAAGTAAGACTTTCCAAGAGAATTTGCTAATGACACTTTTCTCCTTGTGCTCTCACAGAGGAAACTTCTCAAACAAAATACAGAGATTTCCAATGCATCCTTCCTTCCTAATTTATTCCTATGCAATGGCAAGAAACCAGCATGAGTCCTCCAAAACAAGAAATCAGACTTTTCATTTGCAATGTTTTGGTAAGTAAGTTCTAGTATAGTATCTCTGACATGTTTCCAGCTAAATTGCTACTGAACAAGTAGACAAAACCACCTGGGTTGGAATCATGAAGTCTCATAGGCAAAACAGACTTGCTTCACCCTAAATAATAAAGACAACAGCCAAAAAATGAACTCAAAGGCACCACAGGAGATAGAAGAAGCACAAGAAAACTGTTTTCCTTGAGGGAATCACAATCCTTTCAAAAAGTCATCCACATACAAAATAATTTGACCAAATTCTCAAAGGAATGACTTTTTACAAGCATGCACTTGCAGATCTTAAATACACTGATATACACTGTATTTGATTCTGCATTGCTGAAATGGGTGTCAGGTCAGCAGAATAAAATTAAGCAGAACTTTTCCCTTTAGGGATATATATGGGGTGTTTCTAACATGAATTAATCCACTAAGAATTTACAAAAAAAAACACCAAAAAGACCAAGATGTGGGTATAGAACTAAAAAAGAGTAAGAGGGGAGAAAGGAGGAGAAACTGAAGAAAAACTGTGCAACTACAGTATGCTAACTTGAGGTTCCTCAATTTAAACTGCAGCACAATTTAAATATTGACTGAAAGCCAAGAGAAATGCCCAGTTAAACCACTTGTTGACCAAGAAATCAATAAGCTGGTAGTAGTACATGGATTGTGTGGCCCAAAGAAAGCTCAAGTCTCCCATGTTATCAGCTTTGCTCTTCTTGAGGAAAAGAATCAAAGACTCAAAAATGCAGTGCCAAAAATTCATCATATATTCCATTAACTTCAGAAAAAGCAATTACCCTGACACATCGCTGTAGTTTGATCTAAAATTGAAACATAAGTAAGAGCAGGTTTTAATCTATTCCACACTTTTGACCTGGAAATATCAGGTATCCAGGAGCTTTGCCACTTTGCTTTAAAAAGTTTTGCAAATATCTTCAGGAAGGAACCACTTTACATACTTCAGTGGTGACATATTAGGGAAAAATTGCTAAAATCAACAGAAACACTCATTGCAATGTTAAGAAGGAAAACCAATTGTCCTCACTTCAAGGGAGCTCAAGACAGAACTTGAGTTTTCTCACCACGTGGCTCCTCTCCACAAAGAAAACCTCTGCTTTAGTTATTGGCATTATCCTTAACACATCTATGGCTTCAAACTCGCACAACACAGAGCTGGCATCCACGTATCCAAGAATGCCTTTTGCTGGTGCCACCACATCCCAAATATCGGGACGTACAGATGTCAGCAGTGGAATGTCTGATTTTCTGAGTCACAGAATGACTGTTTTAGAGCATTACTACTACCATTACAGACAGTAGGCAGGCTCACATGGACTGACTCTGGTGTACAATCTTAACAGTTGCAGTAATGGAAAACCTTAAACTAGCTCAGAGAAAGCATGAGCATGTCATCATAGAACTTTAAATTGCTATTGATTCTTCAGAATATCACGCTCCCAAAAGAACTGTATTCAAGGAAGAATATTTTTTTAAGTTCCTTTTTGCTAATTTCTTCTGTGTTAGGCTACCAGTGTGCCTGTTACAACACTGACAGTGCCCAGCTCAATGTGAACACAAGAGTGGAGTATGAACAGTATCAGCATATGGTCTGACTTATCTTGTTTGTATCAAACCACCACACAGCCTGATAAAACTTTCTTCTGCCTGGCCAAAACCACACCACTGTATGATAACATCCGAGTAAACCTAAAAAGTACTGAGATGCTTTGCAGACCATGAGTAGTTCACCTTATGGTGGTAGAAACCTATCACGCTCAGAAGCTGGAAATACAGAGATGCTCATACTGTCTAATTCATGCAGAGGTTTTCACAAGTGTTCTTGTCAGTCTCCCCACATGCTTTTTACTCCTCCAAACTGCAATTTTCTGACAAATATTTTTAGTCTTTATTTCTTACCCTAGTCTTGATTTTGAAAGAAAGATTCTGCACATGTGTAATGAATATAAAAACTGTAATTTTGCAAGAGTATGTATAATCTCAATACACAAAAGTAGTTTTCCTCTCCATTCTACAGATCCAATGTGACTGTGTTCAATTCAGTTTATGTAATTTTTTTTTCCCATTCTTGAGTTATTTTTGTAGAACCTTTGCTATTATAGAGTTCTTTGCACTCAGGCAATGAGATCAAGCACTGATTTGAAGTAGATGAATGGAGAAATTCAGAGATGTATAATTGCTGCAGGAAAGGAGAGAAAGGAACATGTACTCAAATACTCACTTTGATGAATCTATGAAGTATATTACAAGAGCACCAATACTAAGAGCGAAGACTAAGACAACCTACAAAAGAAAAGAAAAGAGTAATTATTTAACAGCATTAACCATTTATTCTTTTACATACAAAAACAACAAAAAAAAAAAGACATCAAAAATAAATCATAAGCTAGTTTAATTTCAGCTCTGATTTTCTTTAGGAAATTAGTCCTACTTGAGCTTCAAACATTATATATTATCATAGAATCTTTCTTGCATTAAAAAGAGACAGAAAAATCTGGCTTTACCAGACCTCTTCTTCAGGATTGCTCATTGGTACAAAAACCAGGAGTGACCAAACTTCCATTATATACATGGATGTGAAACCCACAGGAAAACTGTAAGAATGCACTCATGTCCATAGGGACTACAGTGAACTGTCAAACAGTTTAAAGCAAAACTTGATGCAGCACATGATAAAAGTTATGACTTTTGTTGACAGTCTTAACATTTAAAGCTACAGATGAGTACTGGAATAAAAACATCTTGATTCAATACAGGCTTCAGACTTCTTTCTGAAGCTGCTGTATTATGAACAAGCCTGAGTGAGGATCACAGTGCAAGGAGGGGACACACAAGGTTTTCATTATAAGTGGACTTTCTGAAACAGTGTAGACATTGCTCTGCTCCCAGCTGTCACTCAGTGCTGTAAAGGCAGCACCGGAAGCAAGGTATAATTATTACATAACCAAACTCTGAAGTTCTGCACAGCCAATATCAAAAATATACATATCTTCAATAAAATCGCCATTAATGTATGAATATTACATAATTAACACTAATTGTTAAAATAACTATTCAACTGAAAGCCTAAATGATTTTTCCTTACTTTTATATCCTGCTGACCATAATATTTTTTACTTTGTGAATGTTTGAAAAAGAGTATTTTGCCTGAGTACAAGTATCTGTTGTCTTGTCTGATGCATTATCACCTGAACCAGTGAGATCTGTCCATCAAATTCAAGAATCAAAGCATGAAATTCATTGAAATAACATTTTTACTACCCAAGTCTAACATATTTGTGTTAACATCTAGAGTTGAAATCTTCTTTCATTGTGTACAGGTGTTGCAAGGTGAAATTAGCTATTAAACGCATACCAACTGGTAGTAGTCTCACCATCACAAGAAATTATAGTGGTGAATAGAACTTGTGGATTGTTATCTGACAACATACCCCAAATTATGATTAGCAGCCATCCCAAGGCCCATTTTCCTCTGAATTAAGATAGTGGGAATCATATTATTATGCACACTCTGCCCTACCTGTTGGAATATTCCAAGCTAGATACAATCACGGTTTCAATCTGAATCAAATCTGCTCCATTATTTATTATCAATCCATTTCAAGGAAAGTCTGCATTTTTAAAAAACAAAATTTTAAAGAGTGCTGAGTGTTCTGAGAACACAGAGCTTACAATTTCGGCAAAAATTTTGCTTTTTCCCAAACCAGTTTTAAACACAGCTATTTACTTTCAAATAATTTAAAGTCAAGTATTAGTGCTAATGTTTTATCTTGCATTCTGTGGAATCATTTCTATAGTAACAGCACCCTCAAAGCCACTATTAAATATAGGTATCTCTTTAAAAAAATCAGGAAAGAAAACAGCAATGAGAAAACAATAAAAAGCAAACAATCTATAAATAACAGAAGAAAGTAAAGTAGAAAAAACAACCATAAAAAAAGCCACAGGACAAAAGAGATTTACCCTATGGTAGGAGTTTTGGGTTGCAGAATGCTGAGATGGCCACTTAATGCTGGAAATGAAAATTTAAAAACTAAGATTGTAATCCATTTGGGACTCTATAAATACTCTTCTTATTCATTCAAGTTTCACAAAGCACACAAGGGCTTTGTAAAACTTTTATTTTCCTTTTCACATAGCAAGTCTCGAGTTATGACTTTCAGTCATTTCCTCTGACCCAAAGGAGTCCTGTAGAGCAAACCCAGCAAAACACTGCATCAGCCTTACACTTCAGTTATAGCCAATCCTTTGTTAACCATCACTGTGCTGGCTCAATGTTACAGGGATTCTGGGTGTGACCTTCCAAAACACTTAAGGCTTTCAGATGTTCTGTGACAGTTCATGTAACTGCCACTAAAATGCAAAAAACATATAGATATATATTTATATACACACCTGATTTTAAACCAAGGCTTATTTTCTCTTCTCTTGCCTTGAAACACATACCTAACATGATACCTAATGTCTCAAAGAACCACAGAAAGGGTATCAGAAGAGAATGGAATATGAAACTCCATTTGTTTTTCCTGCTAGCAGAGAAACACATTTTTCCTTTGCTAAGTGACAGGGGAATTGAGCTGGAATTGAAACCATCAAGTGTGTGGGAAAATCAGACCCTGAACCAATCAGGTTAAAGTTATAGTAAAATAAAAAAAAAAAAAAGAAATAGATTTTAACAAACCCCAAACTCTTGTATGCTATATGATAATATCTCAGATGCAAGTTTTTTGTATTCCCATTTAAAGAACGAGGAGTGTAACCTGGTTATTCAGACCCAGGATGACACTTACTGAGTTTGCTCTAGTGTTCCCTAGATTGCCAGGGGAGATAATACCTGTTTTAGAGACCTTACCAGGCTAGAGGGGCATCACAAACATAGACCCATACCCCAAATTCACAGCAACTAAAATCTGAGAGAAGGAAAAGCACGTATGTATGTGAATTACTGCCTTTCTGGTTAACTAGGCCATGGCAAGAAGTTTGCTTCCTTTGTTTATTATTTCAATGTGTTTGCCAAAACATTGCAATTGCTACACATCTATTATAACCCTTCTGTACAGAAGGAAAGAATCCTTTAATTTATAATAGCTTGCTGTTTGTATAAGATTCAGAAATGTGAACTCATATGCTAACATCTATACTGACTAAGCACTTACTAACAAATTAAAAATAAACACCAATCTGATTAAAGAAAAGAGGGGGAAATACATGGAATAGTTGCTGCATATCCCTAAATCTTTCATTAAAAAAGGAACAGAAAAATCCAGCCCCAGATTTAAACAAAAAAGTAGAATGCCTTTTTATGGCAAGAGTCAGAGAAACTGCAGATATAATTCATCTAAGGAAAACTAAAAATGTTTTGACTGATTCCAAGATGCTCTACAAGAGCTTTGACTGCAGTCAAAATTTAGGCATCCATAATAAATACAAAAAGAAAAAATAGAAAGAAAAAAAGGAGAGTTTTGATAAGGGTGTAACAACATAATAATACTGCAGGCAAGAACCAACTCTGAGAAACACTGTCCCAAAGAAGCTCAGGCCCCAGCCTATGTAACAAAGGGATGATCCAAGGGGTGGCACTGTTCCCCCTGCAACTCCAAAACTGCACTGTTGAAGAAAAAAGGGAAAGCAAGAAGGCTGGTTCATTAGACAGGAGGGCTACAGTTATTAATGAAGAGACTCTAGAGCAGGAACTTCAGATTCTCTCACCCTGTAACACTTGAACATTCTGTGAAAGTTGAAACAGAACTCTTTGAAGTTTCAAAGGCAAATTCGTGCTTATACAAGATTAAATTATCCAAACATAATTAATACAAAATAGCATAGAACTCAAGAGGCAAAGCAGAAAATCAAAAAGGAATAATCATCTCTTTTTATTTTCCTCCAAAATTAAGTATTAAAATGGGAAGTATGCAGTGAAAAAAAAACCAAACACTTTCAGAAATCTGTAACCCCTAACACCTCGGGGCATCAGAGAGTTCTTATTTTTTCTGACAACAATCTGTTCTGTACTGTTCTTCAAAAAGGTTTCTTTGAAACTCTTGTTCTATGGTTAAATTATTCTACCCAAAGGCTACTGTAATCCTTAGAATATACTAGGTTTTTAGTTACTAATATTTTTTGAAATTTACTTGGTTTTCATTTCTACATTCACACAGTAAAGTCTGTTAATAAGATACTCAGTTTTATCAACTATGATTTTAAAATAAAATTCCATTTGTTTTTATATTTATAATTAGTTATGGAGAACACTAATTAGTTCCTCTATACATAAAGCTAAAGCCTCAATGATCCATTAAACTTTTGTTAGAAATGTTTGCACTACTAAGATGTGAATAGCCTGATGTTTCGATCTAACTTGGGTGAAAATACCTTAAATATAAACCCCAAATGTCCTTTAACCATCAAATAAGAAATCAATTGTAGTTCTTTTATAGAAAGACAGAATTTGCTTGTCCAGATTTGCTAGGAATGAGAACCATAAAAATCTAAAGACCCACCTGCTTCAAGTTACATTTCAGAAGTTATCAATTCCTTCTAGTTTGGCAATCCCAGCATTACTTTTAGACTCTAGGAGATGTACCCACATCTCTGCAATTTAACAAAAGTAAGACCTTCTTGACCATAGAAGATCCAGAGGATCTTACCTAAAATTGCCAACTCTTAGTTACTGAGTTAACTTAATTGCTAACTCAGATACTTAATTGCTAACTCTTAGTTACGAAATCTTCATTTTGAGCTTGAAGCAACTAAAACACTAAATCCGAATTTTGCAATTTTTATAGCCACATTAAAAACTTTTCAGAAACGCTGACGTGAAAATCTTTTACAAGATTTTACATGCAAGTCATTTCCTTTCAGTGACATTTTACGATTTAGTTTTTTGTTTACTGCTATTACAAAAAAGGAGTGAACAAAAAAGTTCATCAGCTATTAAATTTTACAGTAACTAATTTAGTCATCAGCACACAATAAAAACAGTACTGTAAATTGGTCAGCTTTACAAGATTTTTTGCTATATAAATTTTCCCCTTCAGCAAAGCTCATACAGGCTTACATTTTCCAAGACAAGTCTGAGTTTATCCAAAAGAGGAGGTGAAGGGGAGTGAGAAATGACTACCTGATAAACCAGTGGGCAGTAAATTCTCCATAAACTTCTGTCAGAAAATTCATAGCAAGCATTTAATTTTAAAACCAAAAGGCATCAAAGTAGTCCAGCATGAGCTCTGATTGATGACCATGAATAATCAGAAGTCTTGGTTATTGTCCTTAGTCCTACCACT